GTGCTCGTTAGCAATTGTAACATACTGTTCAGCAAAGCAAATAGAGTCGATAAAAAGTTTCTCGTTTATAGACGGATAAAAGTCCACAATATTATAAAGAATTTATAAAACTGTTTGTCATTGATATTCTTGAACCATTTAATTACCTCCTGTGTGTTACTCCACTGGTTAATACATAAAATATTTCTTAGCCAGTTGTTTATTTCACTATTTTGTTCTTTGCTGGGTTTATGAGACGAACCGTAGGGTTATTTAAAAAATTATGTTTATGATATTTCAATGTGATAAAACAGTTTTACGATCCGTTAATATGGATTTTGTTGAAAACATCGTGATTTTTTAAAATAATTTTTCCTCCTTTATTATTTGATCTTTTATTATTGGATTGGTTTTTTTATAGTTAGTTGTGGTAGCGTTTATTATCAATTTATTGTATTCATCTTTAGGCAGCTTGTATAAGTTTGACGTCATATCTGCATAAGATAATATATATAAATATGCATATATATAAATATTTCCAGAATTTTGAAAGTTAAAAATTGCTTTGGTGCTATTTTTCGTATTCCAATGATTTAAAAATGTATTGAATATTATGAATTTTCAAAAGTAAAAATTATTTTGTTGCAAATTGTTATTAAATCTACAATTGTTTTTGTAATTTTGTAAATTAATAACATCAAAATAGTGAATTATCTAGGTATTAAATTAAATCCTAATGACTGCAACTTCAAACCTTGCCATAAAAATTTCTTTTAATTGTGTTACTGTTTTTTAATTTCTATTTTTTTTTGTTAATATCTAACATTTCATTTTTGTCAACATTTTAAAACAAAATTCTTTTTTTTTCTTTAGCTTTATTACAGTTTTTTATTCAATATAAGAAAATAGTTTTTTATTTTAGATGTTAAAGGAAATATATGTAAAACAATCAGGGCCGTCCCAAGGGGGGCATAGGGGTGTTTAGCCCCCCTACGAATTTTATTAGTCGGCAAATTGGACACTAGAGTCAGCAAAATTGGATTTATAGTTGGTAGTCGGCAAATGTCAAAAAACGAGGATCTTTTTTTTTTTTTTTACATAAGTTAGAGGGCAAAAAACAGACATCCCCCTCCAATAAAATCTCTTCGGGACGGCCCTGAAAACGATATATATGTATGTAAATGTGTGAAATTTTGAATTAGAAAATGTTTAAATGCTTCTTTTGTTTGTTTAGATGTTCTTTTGTTTATTTAAATGTTTAAATGCTATTTGCTTTTTTTGTTACCTTGAAATTTTTCTTTTTTTCTTGTTTTTATTTTTTTCATCTTCTAAAACAGAGAGAGAACTTTTAATACTTCTTAGTTTTTTAAGATTAATTTTTATCAAAGTTACATTTTTTTTTTCACGGTAAAAAAAAGGCTCCCACAAAAAAATTGGGTTGCGCAATAATCATCGCACGAGTAGATTGCGCGATGATCACCGCGACACCTACTTTCAATATATGTAGTTCAATAGTAGTAGAGAACGCTCTAGAACGTAGAGAACGCTATGTTTAAAATGGTTTTTATATTAAACTACATATATTGAAAGTAGTTAAAATAAAAAATTCTTACGTTTTCATACTTTTATATTTTTAATTTATTCTCTAAAATAAATAGAAATTATAATTCTAAAAAAGCTAAAACTAATGGGAAAGATTCTTTTATTCTAGTCTATAGCAACAAACTTTAGTATAAAGTCAACATGTATAGCAACAAACTTTAAAGTCAACATAAATAAGCAAATCATCAATCGTATCTATTTTTTAAATCTTACTTTAACGAATAGAAATCGTCTTGGCCTCTGACAATATCAACATATCAACATCATCTATGAAGCATCTGTAGAAAAATTATGATAAATTTTTACTTCAGATGCAAAATAAATTTTAAGTTGTGTTTTTAAAAAAAAAAAATTATTGCGCTGTAATTTTGCTACCGTGACGGGCTAATAGATAAAAACAAACTTCACTTTTTGGATCATGAATTAGTAGATTACGAAAATAATAACAAAACTGATGTGCAAATTTAATATTACAAAAATATCGCAAATCCTCTTCTGTAAGAGGAAAATTTTTTATTCAATAAATTATTCCTTTTAACCAATAATTTCAACAGAAATTTTTATGTAGTAAAATTAATGAACTTTTTTTTTTTTTTACCGATAAAACTTTTTTTCAAAAAGAAAACCAATCCTTCGACAAAGAAACTATTATCAGGTATAAGCTTAATGGCGGTGGTTTTGATACACTAAATGTGCTAATGCTACAAGGTCTTTTGACAAAACGATACTTCTTTCTCCAATATCTCAAAAGTAATAAAGCCCTTAGAAATTTGTTTCATTTGTAATTCCTTCAAACACGTTTCGGAACAGGTTTTGAGACACAAGTATTTGACCACTTTCTCCAAGTTAAATTTGGTTTGTAATTATTTGATGCTGAATGCTGTTTTAGGATAAAACGTTTAACTACGAGTATGCAGATTTTTACACGCTTCTCTTGAAGGAAAATATCAATAACAAAAGTGAAATTTTTTTTTTTCTCTTGGATAGAAGTTTCATAACCAGATACCATCTGAAGGAGTATCTTGATTGGCGAAGAATCTCTTAAGATATTATATCAGAGCAAACATGCCAAATAGCGCATCAAAACATTATAAGACACTAAAAAAGGTTTATTACGTTTGAGAATAATGTGCATCACGGTAAAAAATTAGGAGTCAATGTCGTTAAATATACTTCAATGTTAAGAGCAAATGTTGTTCAACAGATTTTGACTGGCATTTAGGGGCCCGGGGGAGAGGAAGAGACATAAATGCAGAGCCGCCTTATATAAAAATTTCTCTTTATTATATATCAAGGACCTTCTTTTTTTAGGTACCTTTTTTTTTTACGTTTAACCCTAAATTACATAATTTTTCTTTAAAGGTATAGGAAAAAAAAAATTATTTGTGTATCTTGATTTTAAGAAGAGGCCAGGACCTTTAGACATAGCAGGGACTTGGAAGGATGGGGTGGGGGAGGGAAAACCTCTAACCCCCTTGCCAGTCTGACCCTGTTGTTCAATATAGTTTAATGTTAAGAGTCAATATAGTTCAATATAGTTTTTATAGTTTTTATTTTATTTTATTTTATTTTTATATATTTCGTTGCTATGAATAATTACAATACCAAAGAACATGAATAAAAATAAAATATGACCGGGGCAAAAAGAAGACTGTAGTTGTCTTATCACTAAACCCAGTAATAAATACACCATAAGTTACAATGCCTGTAAAAACTGAAATAATGTAAGTTACATATCATTTAAAATTTTTTTTTACCGTTATAGTTTACTAAAAATATATTTTAAATAGGGAACAAAGTTACAAACCAAAAAAAAAAGACCAGCAAAAAAAAAGAAAAAACAAACAAAATAGTTCAATGTTAAGAGTTAATGTTCACTTCATAAGAAATCTTCATAATGAAGGAGGAAAACATTATTTTAAATAACATATTATTTTTAGTAAAATTATATTATTTCAATTGGAAATTATATTTTAAGGTTTATCTTACATATATGTCAGTCGAAGCAAAACATTAACTTGCCTTCCAAATAGGTTTTTATCAAGTATTCGGAAACTTCCAACTTATTTTCTTGTTAATATTTAGGGGAAAGAGGGGCAACATGACGAACGTTTTGAAACCCCTGAGTTATTGCAAAGCTATCAGTCGTGAAGCAATAATACTTTCTCAGTATGTTTATGTTATTAAAATCCTTCATTGCCTGCATGAATTTTCAGTTTGCAAATATAAAAATTTGAAATAAATATTAAAATAAAAAGCTCATAAATTTGTCATCTGGTCATGTGACCGGGACAAGATGACTTATTATGCAATTTTTACCTCCTATTTTATAAAATTTTAAAAACTACCAATAACTCTAACTAAAGTAACAAAAAATAAAAACAAATTGCAAAAAACTACTTCTAAAGAAGTTAAACTTAAAGGACACCATCTATTATGAGAAACCGAAAGTGAGGAATTTTTTTTTTAAGCGCAAAATGTACACTTATGGCATAAGTTATGCATATAAAATTGCGTTAATACTATTTAAAAAAACCAATTGGTGTTTTAAAATACAAGATGCAAATACAGTTTCGTTTTCACCCAATTTTAAGATTTTTTGTTGAGTTTTTATACGAAAACCCATCTTGCCCCATTCGCCATGTTGCCCCGCTTTCCCCTATATAAATTATCATACTTTTCAAAAAAAAAAAAAAAGTTGGTCGCTGCAAAGCGACTAAAATGCCCAATAACAAAATGTAATTTTTATCAAAACCTATTTTGACTCAAAATAGGTTTTGAGTCAAAATAGGTTTAGCAATTGTATTTGTATTCATTCAAAATTCTTTATTTTTTGTAAGGTTTGAAGATGCATCAAAAAAAAAAAAAAAATTGAAAATGCATTTTTTTCTTCTTTCATACTATCTTATCAGTAGTTTAAAAGAATTAAAAGTAAAAATTATTTCAAACAAATGCCTTTACAATAAGTTCAATTTTGTAAACTAAAAAACTCAAAACGTTTCTTATTTAGTATATATTTTTTTACTTTCCCTATGCCTCTACTAATAAAAAATACGATACTTAAAAACGAGTTAAAACCAACTTATTCTGTGTGTGCGGAGATTTACGTACCAAGCGCTCTTGTTGATAAAAAAAGACTGCACGTTTTTTGCATGATTTTGCACGCCTGTTTCAATTCTCATGCGACTATTTGCTTCCCACATGAAGTAGCTATCTGAATTTTAGGGCTTATAGTATTCTTTTATATTTGCAAAATCGAAAATGTTAAAATTAGGTACGACAAATATAATACTTTTTTATTTGTTATAAGTTACAAAATAAATAATATAGTATTATTATTTATTTGATATAACATTTATATTGATATATAATACTTTTTATATTTTTTTGAGAATAAAATTTTTAAGTATACTTTTTAGAATACGGAGCTAATGATCTTATCATTGAGGGGAAGACAAAAGCCATATATGCTCTTCCAGAGTATTTAGATGGTCAGTATGTTATTATGAAATCGCATGACCAAATAACATGTGGAGATGGAGCAAGAAAAGATATTCTTATAGGTAAAGGTGCTTTAAGTAATGCAACAAATGCTGCTATTTTTGAATATTTAAATAATGCAGGAGTTCGAACTCACTTCCATCGTTCTGTTTCTGAAACAGAATGTATAGTGGAACGCTGTCAAATGATTCCTCTTGAAATAGTTAGCAGAAGGTTAGCCACAGGTTCTTATTTAAAACGAAATCCAGGTGTTAATGAAGGATTCAGATTTTCCACGCCTAAAATGGAGTACTTTTTTAAAGATGATGCCAATCATGATCCACAATGGTCCTCAGACCAAATTCTTGAAAATAAACTTATGATTGGTGGGTTAACAATCGGTCAATTTGAACTAGATGAAATTACTTTAGTAGCAAAAACTTGTTTTGAAATTTTAGAGAAAGCATGGGCATCCAGAAACTGTGTTCTTGTTGACATGAAAGTAGAATTTGGGGTTACAATTAAAAATAAAGAAATAGTTTTAGCTGATGTTATTGACAATGATTCTTGGCGAATTTGGCCTGCGGGAGATAAAAGGCTAATGAAAGATAAACAAGTTTATAGAAATTTGTCAGTTGTAACTACAGAAGCCATGAGTGAAATTAGAAAAAATTATACATGGGTTTCAAATGAAGTAAAGTTATTTACATCAAAACCTTTTGCTAGAGTAGTAATTATTTTGGGTTCTTCTAGTGATCTTCCACATGCACACAAAATAGAAGCAAAATTAAAAACTCTTGGTGTAAACTGTGAGATTCGAATTAGTTCAGCACACAAAACAACAGAAAAAACAATAGATGTTATTAGATATTATGAAAGTGATGGTGTGCCGACTGTCTTTATTGCTGTAGCTGGTCGAAGCAATGGTCTTGGTCCAGTTTTATCTGGAAATACCACTTACCCTGTTATTAATTGCCCACCTGTTGATTATAAAAGCTGGGGACCAGAAGATATCTGGTCATCACTTCGTCTACCGTCAGGTTTAGGATGTACAACAACAATTGACCCAGAGGGAGCTGCTTTAAATGCTGCCCAAATATTAGCCCTTACTGACCATTGTATCTGGAGTCGAATACATGCTTGCAGATTAAACACAACTCTTTCCCTAATGCGTGCTGATAAAGATCTTCTGAAATTATGAGGTCTTTAAATGTTTTTCTATTTTTAGTAACATTCAAAGTTGTATTTGTATTTTGTTAATATGTAAAATCTTAAAATATAAATAATACAAAATATTCAAAGTTTATTTATGTAGATGATTTATACTTGAGCTTTTTTTCAGAATAAATTTTAAGGCATTTCTGAATAATATTTACTGTAGCTGTTGTATTTTATTAAATAACTTATTTTTTAATGTTTTTATTTTAAAGATTAAATCTTTCAATTTCTTAGTTTTTTACATAACTTTGTTTTCATGTTATTGTTAGCATATACTTATATTTTATATTTATGTATGTTATATTGTATGTTAGCATATACAGATTGACAATCTTGTCAATATGTATATGCAACTGATTGTTGTTGTCAATATGTATATGCAACCGATTGTTGTTGTCAATATGAATATGCAACCAATTGTTGTTGTCAATATGTATATGCAACCGATTGTTGTTGTCAATATGTATATGCAACTGATTGTTGTTGTCAATATGTATATGCAACCGATTGTTGTTGTCAATATGTATATGCAACTGGTTGTTGTTGTCAATATGTATATGCAACCGATTGTTGTTGTCAATATGTATATGCAACCGATTGTTGTTGTCAATAAGTATATGCAACCGATTGTTGTTGTCAATATGTATATGCAGCCGATTGTTGTTGTCAATATGTATATGCAACCAATTGTTGTTGTCAATATGTATATGCAACCGATTTAATATAAAGAGAAAACCATTTTATAAAATAGTGAGTTGAAATAAAAACCATTATTTAAACTTTCAAAGAATTTAATAGTTCAAATCATTAATAGTTCTTATATTTAAAGACTAAATATTGTTTATTTGTTACTTTACCAAATTTATTTGTTAATTGAATTGAAAACATTGAGTTTGTAATATAGGTTATTTAGAGGCATATTTTGATGTTATCTCAAACATCAAAATACAGCATATTTTGATGTTTGAGATATCTAACTTACAGACACGAAGCAAGCTCTAAGTATATATTTATACTTATGTCAAATTAGGATACTTAATAAAAAATTCCAGATAATTTGAGCTTAGGAAAAGTTCTTAATTTTTAGCTACATCTGACCTACAAATGAGAGCAACAAGTTGATAAAATATTTTTTACTGTTCTCAATTAGAGTTAAATTCATTGATATATTTTTAATTTCATATAATCTCTAAAAATGTGACCTCAAATTGAGAAGGGGGGGGGTTCAAATTTGTATGGTCATTATATTGAACCCTTGTAAATTGGTATATGAAATTTAAAATTTGTTAATGAATACATTTAGTTAGAGCCCATAACACCTTACATGGTGTCTATAAATATTTAGTTTATTGTGTACAATATCTTCACTTGCTACAATACATTAAAGTAATTTAGTTATAATTATCATAACATTGAACAATATCTTTACTCTGAAACAAGGAACAACTTTTTCCGTGCCACAAGGAACAATAGACTTTTTCCGTGCCACAAGTTGAAATGGTTATTGCTTCTTTTGTGACTCAAGTTTTGAATGCCTGACTAAAAATTTTGAATTCTAGTAATGTTTTTAATCAAAGTTAAATACGTAGTATGTCAGGTTTAATTGACCCGTCTAAATGTTTTTTTTTTTTTTTTTATCAATTTTCATTTTAGTTAACAAAAGTTCCTATTTGAAAAACCAGACTACATTAGCCCAGCAAACATTAGTTTAGTGGATTTGCAGTGAACCTTTATAGGCATTTTTTAGCGGTTTATTGGAACTTTGCTCATCGGTTACTTAGTGGACCATTAGTGGCAGCCGCTTTAAATGGCAAGCCGATAATTTTTCGACATTTTAAAGGTGGATAATTATCGGCAAGCCACTTTTGAGGCTGCCACTAATGGTCCGCTAAGTAACCGATAGGCAAAACTACAGCGGCCCGCTCAAAATGCCTATATGAGTCCACTGAAATTCTGCTATTGAATGTTTGCTGGATAATTTAAAAATTTTTTAATGTTCAAATTTTCAAACAATGTAAAAATTTTAGAGCAACTGTGGCCAAATGATATTCAGAAACAAAGTACGCCGGGTTCGAACCCCACCTAGGCAAGTTCTGCGACATCGGTTACAAAGGAGGCGAAAACTTCCTATTGAATGCTTTTCCGCGGTGTTTTGTGATAAGAATGTAAGGACTTCTTTGGGCACCTAAATAAAAGTATAAACAAATGTATTTAGAATGTTGTCTATGAAACAAAATTTAAATTTTTTTTTTTTCTTTTGTTTGTTTGTTTTTTATTACAATATTTAAGATAGATTACAATTAAATTCAAAAGGGAAACTACAAGTGAAGATATCATTTAAAAATAAAGAACGTGATGTGTGACTCAAAGAAGACCATTAAAGCTTTTTCTTTTTTTCTTTATAATTTTTTACAACTTTATAAACTGTTGTTACAATTCCTTCTCTTGACATAATATATAGTCATAGAGAAAACAAAAATAAATGTATACATATATAAATCGTTAAAAATATATTGTCAATCGTTAAAAATATATTGTCAAATAATTGTGATGTTGTAAGGAAACTCGCAGAAGACTTAAAGAAGTCTTGTCATCGAGAACCTTTGAGACATAAAATAAGAAAAAAATTAAAAAGCAAACTTGTTAAGTGACATTACTAGATAAGTAAGATAGTAATACACATAGAAGACATATTTTTATGTGTATTACTAGATAGTAATACACATAAAAAGATTGAGATATAAAAATTAGTAGGTGTTGTATAAGAATTATAGATTTTGTTATTTTTTCTTTTTCACTTTCTTGTCAAATATGTTTAAAACATATCGATAAAATTTGTTGAGTTAATTATGAAATGTTTAAGGTTTTTCTTCAAAGTATAAAGATTACCAGAATTACTAAGTTTTATATATTTGGATATGACTTTGTTATATAGGAAAGGGCAACGGTATACAATTGCATTTTGCGAAATTTTTGTTTTTTATAGGCAACGTGAAATTTCCTGTTCCTCTTGTAGTATACTTATTAGCGTTAATTTGAAAAAAGTTATTAGAAAAATAATTTGGAACTAGTTCAAGTTTGTATTTCGACATAAATAAAATATTTTGGTATATATAAATTTCATAGATATTTAGTGCGTTTAAAGATTTAAGTCAAGGATCGGCATGAGTAAATTTATTTTTATTATAAACCAGTCTGAATGCATATTTTTGATGTACGTATAGAGAATTTAATTTAGATTTATGTGTGCTCCCCCATGCAGTGTTAATTTAAATAACTTTGAATATAAGAAAAGTAGAGATTTTTAAGATTTGATTGTGTGAGCATTGGTTTAGCTTTATAAAGAACACCTATGCTTTTTGATATTTTGTTTTTTATTGCACTTATATGGGCCTTCCAGGAAAACTTCTCATCAATAATTATTCCAATAAAGTTAGTTTTTTCAGTTTTTTTAATGCATATGTTATCTATTTTTAATGATGGTAGGATTAGTGGTATATTATTTTTCTAGTGATTAGGATGAAACAAGATATATTTGGTTTTTTCTGTATTAAAAGATAATTTATTTGCTTTGAACCAGATGTTGAGATTTTCAAGATTAGCGTTCATTGATTCATAAAGTTCTTTGATAGATGACGATGAATAAAATAGGTTTGTGTCATGGGCAAACATAATAACATCAAGTTTTTTTAAGGTTTTTGGAAGATGATTGATATAAATTAGAAATAATAAGGGACCGGAAATGGAATTTTGAGGAACTCCGCATTATATTTCTAAAAGGTTTGAATATTTGTTATCGTCTGAAATTACGCATTGTTGTATGCCACACAAGTAGTCGCGGAGTTCTCTTGTGACGGTCTTGTCACTGATCTCTTGTCGGTGTCACTTTTCTCTTGTCACGGTCAACAATCCTGTCGCGGAAAACCACTGTTGCAGAAATTTGAATAAAATAAATATTAAATTTTCTTTTGATGTGGTAAAACTAATAATAACTGATAGGTTTCATCTAATATTAGATAGATGTGGAGAGGTTTAGGCAATCGCTCTTGACATTTCTAAAGCCTTTGATAAAGTTTAGCATACTGGTTTTTTCCACAAGCTCTCCTCTAACGGTATATCGAGTAACATCTTTAAAATTATCGAATCTTTCCTTACCAATCGTAGCATAAAAGTTGTCCTCGACGCACAGCACTCTTTTTCATATCCTGTAATTTTAGGGGTTTTCTCAAGATTCTATCTTTGACCCTATACTCTTTTTAATTTACATTAACAATCTTCCAGAAACTTTTAAATCTAAGGTGGCATTGAAAAGGATCTTACCTCTGCTATAGGTATGGGCTCTCGTTGGCTGGTAAACTTTAACTTTGATAAAACTCCATTCTTTTCAGCTAATTATTATCGCAATAATCTTGACTTCTTTTATTTATGTTCATAAATAAACAAAACCCTTCATCTTCTAACTCTTACTTTCGATCTCTCTTGGAAACCATGTATCAAATTGATTTCAAAAATAGCATCTGCTAAGGTCTCGTACTCGCCAATTTCTTACTCAGGATCCCATTCTTTATCTCGATATATCTCAAATCCGTCCTTGATGATGCCCTTTTTCTTTGAGACAAGATAAAAAACGCATTGTAAACATAATTAAACCTGCTTTTGCAGCCAACTTTCAACCATTATCACTTTGTTGTAATATTGCTTCTCTTTCTTTTTTCTATAAATACTATAGTGGGCTCTGCTCTAAAGAGCTAGCATTACTTAATCATTATAATAGTTATTTCCCGATCGAAGAAAAAAAAAAACTGTCCATAGATTACTAGTGGAATTAAAAAATCCTCTAAAACAAAACAAAAACTCTACATAAAATATTTAAAAAACAGAAATGAAGTCAACTTATCTATCTACAAGCAATACAAAAATCTCTTTGAAAAAATAAGGAAAAACTCTAAAAAAATATACTACTTAAAACTACTTCAAAATACCAATGGCGATATTAAAAAATCATGGAACATCATGAAAGAAATAATCGGGAAAAAAAATACCAAAACAAATACCTTACCTGATAGAATTGTTGTGGATGAAAAAGAATACAACGATAAAAGTTCTATAGCCGAACATTTCAACAGTTTCTTTGCAAACATCGGCCCTAACAT